AAACATGATAAAATGTCCCTTCATGTTGTTCACATTTCCAGCAAAGATTTGAAGTACCTTTGTACATTCTCAACGATTTCTCTGGTGATAGATACAGTGATACATAATTTTATAAGAAGATTCTTTAAGACTAGAACATAATGTAAATTTCAATCCTTTCAACCATTGGTCCGTTTGTATATTATAGCCAAATTTTTTAGCCCATGTTATCATATATTCTTTCACTTGTTCTTCTTCTGTCTCATATTTCAGCAGAGGTTTATACATTTTATCAATAACATGTTCATTATTAGTACATAATTCTATTTCCAGCTCAGTCTTGCTTTGTTCAAAACCATAAAACCTTTTATCCACTTTAAACCTTTCTGTTAATTGTTCATAAGAAACCCATTGACAAGAATACCTTTCTGTTGTCAAATTTTCTCTTGATTTCATTTTACAATCCCCTTGAGAAAATTCTATTACATCTTGGTAGGTTAACTATTTATGTTTACTTATCATTTCTTATCTATAAAATGCTTCTTGCATTGAAAGCCATAAAGGTGTTTTCAAGCAAAACCTGAGTTTATATTTATTCCATACTCTAAGATTAGCCTGTCTAACGTAATGTTTTTTAAAGTCTGCATCAGGGTTTCTCAACCGGGGTTCCGCAAGAGGTCACTAGGTGTTCCCTGGGAGATTACAGTAATAAGCAGAGACTAAACAAAAATGTTGCAAGCTCCAACACTGGGTTGGCCTGCTGGAGCACACGCAGACCCTGGGTGAGGGCGGGGACTGTGCGCATGTTTGCAAGCGAGGAGGCAAGCAGAGCACAAGCTAAGGGTGGGCTTGGAAATGCAGCGGTGGAGTGGCAGGTGGTGAGAGTGTGCACGCGAGAGAGAGACGCCTCAGGGGCTTCCCCGCCTGCAGTGCCGGGGCTCTCCTTGCCGGTGCACACTTGCCATTCTGCAAGTACAGCGGCCCAGGGGACTCTGTCTCAGGGCAGGCACAGGAGATCCGGGGCTGGGCTGGGCTGGGCTGGGCTGAGCCAGGCACCAACAGCAGTAGGAGCCACCCACAAAGGGGGAGGAAGAAGGAGGCAGGGAAAGGAAAAAGTGTTGGTGGAGGAGACTTTGGAGAGGTTCAGGAGAGGTTGATGAGTCCAAATATTAAGGGGAGGGGTGTTGGAGATTGCAAGGCATCAGCCCCCCTCTACTTTTGTAAAGGGGTCCATGGAAGAGGAGGTGGGAAGGTGGGGAGAGAAGGGAGAAGCTGAATTTGGGGAACAAGGTATTGGTGATACAGGGAGAAGGGAGGAGGCCGGCTGACCCAACTCAGCATGCCTGCATCATCTGCATCCCTGCAATACATTTTGCAGTTATCATTCATGACAATATGATACATCACCAAAAACTGTACACACCCTTAAAAGTAGCCCAAAATAGCCAAAAAAAAAACCCCAACCTGCAAACACCAAAAATTTCCCACAACTGATCTCCAAAACTCAAGTTCGGCCCAGAATTGAGTATATGTGCAGCAAAAAACAAGCACATGTTTCACATTAAAGAGGTAAGTTTCATTCTTTATTTTTAGTTTAAGAACACTGTTAATCCATATATACAGGCCTACACATGAAACAAATACAGTAATTTTGTAACTTCTGGCCTATATTTGAACCTGAATGTGTAGGGATTCCCTGAAGCCTGAAAATATTTCAAGTGTTCCTCCAGGGTCAAAGGCTATGAACGGCTGGTCTACATTCACCTTAGCTTTATTTTACTGTTGATATCCATGCCACTCAGATCTCAAATCATGACCTTCTAAATCCAATAACCTTCTATTTCTTAACAACACCCCCTCTTTCATCCAAACTAAACAGCAAGCAGCAAAATATAGTTTCAGATCTGGTAAGCCCAATTCTCTGCTTTCCTTCGCATCTTGTAGTACCTTATAAAGATATTATAAAAATACTGGGGAAAGTATTTCTTTTATATCTGATAACATCCCATATCAGATACATTACCAAGAAGTCTCAAGTGAACACATTATAAAATGCATTAATTATTTTCAAAAAGTATAATTCCTGAAGTAAGGTAATTTCTTTTCTTAGGAAAGAATGTGTTCCTCTGCCTTTGGCTTAATTCCAACAATGCTTTAAGAACAGGTTTTCCCACTACCAAAGGCTCTTTTTTGATAAAACAAAAAAGAAACTAGCTATGCTGTTGACAAAGAAGAGCTATCAAGTTCTTAATGTTTAACATTAATGAAATAATTTGGTTTGGGTTTCTCTTTTAGGAACTAGTTTCTGTTATCCCTGCCTGCCACTGGTTCCCATAGTGATGCGGAGAAGTTGTTGCCACCGTTACCCTCCAGTTCCCCTCACCACAAAGCCTTGGCATTTTGAATCATTTGCCAAGAATGTGCCCTCCCATGCTTAGTTCTTATGAACCTTTTATAAAAAATAATAATAATAAAGCCCAACCTATTTTAGTTTTGACTGTTGCACAGCATTTGTGTTTTTAAAATGGTACTCAATATTTTCACAAAGAGCTCTCCAATCAATTATTGCCTGCTATTAAAAGAGCTACTCTTAGATGTTGTTCTCCCCACTTAAAAGCTACCAAATAAAACAAGAAAACATCCTAGAATTTAGTGTTGTTTGGTGTACTCCATTATTGCAAATCCAGGTCTTAGTTCAAGTGACGTTAATAGGAATCAGCAGTGTGATAAACTCACTGCATCGCAAAAGACACTTTATTGAACACCTGCTGTCCCCTTGGAATGTTGGCTCAATCTGTAACTGCTCTTGGTGTCATCTTGTGGTGCTTTTTTTTAGAAAGTACAACAATATACATTAATAATTCAAGCTACAGATATGGAAGGAAATCCAACATACGGTCTTTCAAACACGGCAACTGCTGTCATCACAGTGACAGATGTCAATGACAATCCCCCCGAGTTCACCGCCATGATTGTAAGTATGCAATAAAGAAAAGGGATGTAGAATGTGTATAGCTCTTACTTGTTTGCTTAGTAGTCCAAATGGATTGAATATGTTTCTGACTTGAGTTCTGTATTTGTACCCTCTCTACATGGAGGAAGCCAGACTGTATTAGCCATTCAGAGATTTCTGTGACTTTAATAAACAGTGTTAATCATCATTACATTGTAATTTTGAATGTGAGAGAAACAACATTACATACATGAAGAGTCATTGTGTTAAATGTATTTATTGTTTACTGAAATAATGCATTGTAAATTAAATGAATTTTTGTTTTCCCCAGGCCCTACCGACTTTGTGTTGGAGAGCCAAGTGTGATCTTCGGTCTGAAAAATTACTATGGATCACTGAATTAGGATTACTTGCCTCCTAAAGCACTAAATAAATAAATGATAACTAAATCATAGTGTTTACCAGAAGAACAAAAGCCCATATTTACTTTTTTTTTTTTTTTTTTTTTTAATTCTGTGTCTTGAGTTACAATCCATGATGCCTGGGAGTTCTAGAGTTGCAGTCCCATTATCTGGCCAAGTTCAGGAAGGCTGGTCTAGACACAGAGGGATGTTACTTCATTTAAAATATCTACTAATATTCCTGAGGAAATTATTCTGATAATAATTTAGGAACATGAGAGACCAACATGAGAAACCTTCAGTGTTTCAGAAGAGAAACAACATGATGATGATTTTTCAGGGTTACTAAACTGACATCTTGTACATATGTATGTGTGTTTTATATTTTCAGTTCTATGGTGAAGTTCCTGAAAACAGAGTGGATGTTATAGTAGCTAATTTAACTGTGACAGATAAAGATCAACCACATACACCTGCTTGGAATGCAATATACAGAATGACAAGTGGTGATCCCACAGGCCGGTTTACCATTTTTACTGATCCAAATAGCAATGACGGGTTGGTAACTGTTGTGAAGGTATGTGATACAGTTTACCAGGTTAACCATGAGCAGATAGGTCACTGACTATTAAACTAGCTCCTGCTGTTAAATGAGAAAGGCAGATTAAGGGTGGATTTCTAAAAATATGAATATTTTCAAATGGTGACATTTATCTTTTGAAAGCCTCCCTATATCACTTGTGGTGCCAGTGTAGATTTGATGTTTTTTAAGAACCTGGTTAAATTATTCAAAGGAACTTGTTCCACGGTATATCAGAACTAGCATAGAAAGTGGAAGCAATTTTAAAAATTGAAATACTAAACAATTTAAATTATTTCTTATTGGATCTTCTTTGTCTTTGCCCAAATAGACTAAGCAACATTTTCAAACTAAAAACAACTTTAGCACTTCTGTACTTCTATGAAATGTATTTAATTAAATATTGTTAAGATCAGTTTTATCTGCTTTGCCTGTGTAATTTAGAAAGGTATTTTAGCATTACTCCTACATGAAAGAAAGAGGCCCAGTTGAACTATCTCAGATTTACATACTAAGAAACTTCGTATGGTTTGTGTTACACATTTTTTTGATTTGAAGCAGGGAGGCAGTGAAGGACAGGAAGGCCTGGCGCAATATGGTTCATGGGGTCACGAAGAGTCGGACACGACTTAACGACTAAACAACAACAACAACCACCTATGGACGAAATCAGGAGTTTTCAAACTTTTTTAGGCCACAGAACTTATTAAGTTAAAAAATTTGAAAATCTGATCCAAAAAATGGCATCCATGGCACTTTTGTCACTGGGGAACGAGACTCATCCTTTGTACTTCAGAAAAATTGTTAAGGATACCCTTGCATTCAAGTATTTTTTTTAATTTAATTTAAATTAAACCAGGTGGCTAACAGTTAAGAAACAACCACAAAGTAAAATGCATAGCTAGCAGTTAAGGTAGAAACTAATCAACAATTAACATAACCATCTCATAGGCTCTGACAACCCCATACTCAGGCACACAACCATGTCTTCGTAGCTTTGCAAACGGCTTGCAGGATTGAGTCCAATGTAATCTAGGGGATAATGTTCCAAAGTGCAGGCACCAGAAAGAAAAGGCACTTTTCCTGGCTTTTACAAGAAGATATTTCTTAACCAACAGGACCAGTAGCACACCTCTCCTGCTAGATCTAATGGGAAAGGTAGAAGTGATCAGGGAGAGGCAGTCCCAGAAATAACCCAGCCCCATACCATGAGGCCTTTCTGGTGACCACTAGCATCTTGAATTGAATCCAGAAATATACCAGTAGCTAACGCAGCTCACAGAGATGTTACATGAGCACACTGAAGAGTGCTTGTAACTGCCCACAGTACCACATTTTGAATCAGCTGCAGCTCACAGAGGCTCTTCGAGAGCAGCGGAGTGTAAAGCACATTGCAGTAGTCCACTTGGGAGTTGACTAAGGCATGAGTGATTGTGAGCAGTCTCCTTGGCACACAACATGAAGTTATGCAAAAACACTCCTAGCCACAGCTATCACATGCTCCTTGAACAAGAGTCAAAAATCCAGGAGGACCCTCAAATTGTGCACTGGTTCTGTTTGAGGTAGTGCAACCCAATCTGGATTAAAAGATGGAAAGTCCCAAGAACCAGAGCCACTCAGTCTTGCTAGGGTTGACTTGAAGCCTGTTTTTCCCCATCCAAACCCTCACAGCCTCCAAACACCAAGATGCAGCCTCCACCGCATCACTTAGTTGGTCTGAGGTCAAGTTATAATGTGATAATACCTCATCCCATGTTGTTGGATGACCTCACCAACAGCTGTAGACATCTCTCATAGAATGCTAGGGTTCCACATAACAGTTTGAAAAACCTGGATTAGATCATGACATTTAATTTATAAGAAGTTGAAATCAGCAGAACTCTGACTGAGAACAGTACGATGGGCTGATACAAGTTTTTACTCTATTTGTTGCTTTATGATTCTGACTTGGCTGGATGTTGCAGTTGCTAAAATTAAATGCATTATGTGTGGCCAATTATGCTACTTAGGATTAAACTATATCTCCAAGCAGTATATCAATTTGTTTAAAAATCTCCCCCAATGAATATAAATCTGCAGGTAGAAACATAATTTAAGAGAAAAGTAGTGGTGAGATATGGAGAACTGGCTCAATTATCTCCTGCAATATGAACTTCCCATAGTTCCTCTCTTCCTGGCATTTTTTCCCTATTTGAAATCACTACTACTATCAAGATTGCAATTGAAGTGAAAATAGTGCTTAAGAGATGGACTCCAAAGTGGTCTCATGATGCCTCATTATATTTTTAAAATCAGTCTCATCAGTTTAAATCTGATGTGGCAAACTTAAATTTAAACAAATACTATTGCCACATCACAAATATTCAATACCTTAATTGGAAGTTTTTATATTCAGTACCTTAGTTTGCAGTTTTATAGATCCAGCCCTGAAGCTGAAAAGCAGCATGCATATACAATGCCACAACTGTATTTGTACTGATGGTACAATTTTGTATATCCGATAACGATAGGGAGAGAAACTATCTTTTTACAATCCTTTGTGTTGTCATTCTTCATTACGTGAAACTTGCTCAGGCCAGCTTTCTAGTTTGGTAAATTAAAAATAACAGAGATATTATAGGTAGTTCAGTAGCGTTCAGTACATACACTGTATTTCACTTCCCTGAATAAAATTTCCCAAGCACTCAAACCAAAGAGAAACCAAGCTAAAGCTTCAGTACTGCAGAATATGTCTTATACTTTCTGAGAGAGCATGAGAGTCACTCTCCATATTTCTAGATTATTTTGTTGTCTATTTACAAAAGTATCACATTCTTCTCATAAGAAGTACATGGTGATGTAATTTATATTCATGCATAAATGAACCATTCAAGATTACAAACTAAAACAATCTGAAATGGAGCTAAAATTAAACTAAATCTCTGTAAAGAGGAAGAAATGAAAGGCTCAAGAGTATAATCTATTTGAAGTAGCTTAGTTTGTTTCAAATTAAATTCTTTATTTTAGATCTGTCAAAATAGAAGCAAAAAAAAAAAAAGGCAAAACTGGATAAATAAATGTGGTAGAATTCCCCAGAGAAGCACTAAGCCCTTATTAGCTCTAATACAGTTTAATGATTCCTGCAGGAGTTATATTGTATTTGGTAAGCAATCCCTCACTCCATGAAAAAGGTACCTGAATTTGACAGCATAAGCAGCTAAACAGGAAATACGTTTGCAGTTCTTCAGCTCAGGAAACTACTATCTAATAATCTAAAAGAAAATGATATAGCAGTTATCCTAACTGCTTTAAGGTATTGGAAATGATGTGGAAAAAACAATTCCAGATATGAGAAAAGTTCTTCATTATTTCCCACAATTAGGCTATTCCTGAATAGCAGAACCGTGCTATGCTTCCAACAGAAGCTGCAGTAGTCAAACAACAGTTTAAGAAAGAAACCTAACAAAATAAATATGTAACCTCCTTACATTTCTGGTTGCCAGCGGAACATATCTGGTGACATACATACAGCTTGGGGGGGGAAAGTATTTTTTTAACTCACAAAGTATTCTGTCTATCTAATTCCAATTCTCAACTTCCTATTGCTGATTACAGGTCTGCAGGGCCACTTCTACAGGTCCTATCAAATATATAAGCATGGGCATCTGTAGGAAGAAGGTGAGGTGGGGGTAAGGAACAGAATATGCATTGTGACCTCACAATGAAACTGCCCCTTATATAGTTGCCTAAGGGCGGAGCTTACATTGTGATGTTATGACACATACTTCATCATTTTAGCTTTAATAAGGAGTAGCATGGACCAAATCTAAAATTAACAAATCTGCCAGAACCATTTTGAGCTTCACACATAAGCTGTTCACAACCACTTTAAAATTCAATATAATACTTTGTTATTTATGCCATATATACTAAATAATAGAAAATGTTGGCCCTCAAAGACTACCTAAAATAGTTTTGATATTAAAACACTGAAATACAGTACAAATAATTTTATAAATACAAGATACCAATTAGATAATTCAACCATAAACAAATTTAATTAACATGTCAGATTAAAAAAAACAGAGTCACAAGCGGACTGTTAAAAATTCAAAGCACATTAAAATTGTCCCAGATTGAAGAAAATAGCATCTAAGAAACATGTAATTTTCTCAATTCACATTAAAAAAAAACTCACATGTGTCTTCCAGCTGCCCTTTAAAAGATGCTGACTACTCAGATACTTAAAGCATAGTATATAAACAGCTTCAAATGGGATGAGGCAGTTTTTCTCAAATTGGGTCCTAACAAATTTCAGGAACTGTTGAAAATAACTACAAATTAAAATAGATTAATAAGTTTATAGAAGAGGATATCAGATACTATTCTAGTCATTGCATGTTGTTCCAGTTGGTACATCCAAACAATCCTCCATGGGTAGACCACTGAAGACTACATTAGATGAGTGTGTTTAGGCTGTGAATATTCCCTGTTCAAATTATGCATTTGTTTTGATGGCTGCATAGAACGTATTATGGATCTATACTGATTTCAGAATGAAAAACACAAAGTAAAATTATTTTAAACTGACTAGACCTTCAAATAATCATCAGGATGTTGTCTTCATTTGTAACATACTCAACTTTTCTTACGAACTAGAAGCTCCGAGCTGTTATTACTTGTCAAATAACTTTATTAAATTTTTAAGATAAAGAGATAAAAACTAACAAAAACTAATAATTACGATATAGAGGAGAAAAAAGAATGAAGAAGAAAACAAAGTCAAAAGTACAGAAAGAAAAAGAAATACTAAAGAAAAATGACTTCTTTTACAATAGATATAACTTTAAATTCACTTTAAGCTCTAAGTTAACAGCATAACTCATTTTTTCTATTGTCTACTATTATTTCTAATACTAATTCTAATAAGTTATTACTTGTAAAGTCAGTTTTCAAACAACCTGCACAAAGGTTCTGTTTAAAAGACAATTGAAATATTTATAGCCCAGTTGTGCTAAATGAGACCCAATAGAATACTGAGGCACAGTTTGAGTTTTTGTGCTGTGGATCAGAAAGTGTCATACCCTTCAAAATAAAAATGAAATAGTCTGATTAAACTTGTGTCTAGGTTATTCATGGAATTACTCTACAGTGGATCAGATTAGTTTAAGTATTGATTGATTTACTGATTGATTGTTCATGTGCCATCGAGTATAGGATAATCATTAAAAATGTATGCTGCTACAGATCTGTTTGATGCAAAGGGATTTGGAAGAGCCAATCAGAATAGCTCTAAAGAGTAAGAAGCAACCCTGAAAAGGAAGAAGTGTTATTGTTCAATAGTAAGCACAAGGCCATTACATATAGCTGGTCCTTTCAGTTGTAGATCTCTAGAATGTTCAAGAATCTTTAAATAAGAGTTTTCTATAATATTACAAAGAAATAGCTTTATTTCAGCATATCTGATATGTTGATATATTGTGCTTAATTTTTTTAAGTGTAGCCTATGACTAATGTAACTTATATCTCACTTTGCTTTTGCCAGCCTATTGATTTTGAGAGCAATAGGAAGTTTGTACTGACAGTTGCTGCAGAAAACCAAGTGCCTTTGGCAAAAGGAATTCAGCATCCTCCTCAGTCAACAGCCACTGTATCCATTACAGTCATTGATGTGAATGAAAGCCCAACTTTTGTCCCAGTCACAAAGCTTATACGTCAGGAGGAAGGGATGCTTCCTGGGGCTGTTTTAACATCATTCACAGCTCAGGATCCAGATCGTTACATGCAACAGACCACTCTAAGGTAACATAGATCTGCCTTAACCATCTAGTTGCCTATAAATGAATGACTCCTTCCCTTGGTTCCTTTGCATGCAGGAATAATTGGGAAGCTGCTAAAAATGATCTTCATCATGTTCTCCATGATTTACAGATAAGATTTATGCCCCTGCCCAGAATCCCATACAGAGTCTTCTAGACCTTAGAATTGTTTGGTGCAAGCAACACACTCATGTCAACCATACTAACACAACTCTGGCTACAGTGTCCTTTCCTTTACTAGTAGTTTTGGCCTTCCATTTGAATCAAGACGACATCATCATCGTTGTTGTTGTTATTGTTATTATTATTATTATTATTATTAATTATTTTGATACCAGTTGATTCTTTGACACCATTGAAAACATTACTTCATCCTTCAGAATGCCATTTTACTCTCTCTTTACCTGCACTATACTGCATCATTTCTCCATAACCATTGTTAATTCCTGGTTTTCCAAGAACTGACTAAAGGGCATGATTTTTTCCCATAGCATTTTTTTTCAAATGGATAATGCCAACCAAAAACGTTTGCTATGAGTTGTCCTAGTCATGCCAGCTTCTAATTTTTTTTAATCATTGAGGCTTATTTTTCAACAGTGATATAATTTGCATTTAGAATAGTTTAGTAATGTTTACATGGCAGTGCTTTTAAATATTCCACAGTTTTATTAAGTCAGCGTGTATGTCTAGGAATATTGAAAATTATTATGTAACTGGGTAATATGTAGCAAATACATTAATATGAAAAATATAATCAATAATATAAATCTGTTTTATTTATTATATAAATAATTTCTACAGATAGCATCTTTTGCAAAATTCTGTCATGTACAGTTTGATTTCTGTGTGCATCTTCCTGCTGATGATTTGTTTGACTGAATACATCTGACATTAATATAGTATTTTATGTTAAATTCTTGCAGGTATTCAAAACTTTCAGATCCCGCCAATTGGTTGAAGATTGATCCAGTTAATGGTCAGATAACAACAACTAGTGTTCTGGACAGAGAATCACCACATGTGAAAAATAATATGTATAATGCTACTTTCCTTGCCACTGACAGTGGTACGTGTTTAATTTCAAGGGCCTGCCTTTTGTATCATTGAGTGCCATGAATATCATCAGCAAAGCAGGGATATGAAATACTGATATAAATAATGTATTAGAATGACAATGAAGTATAAGAGAAATTATCTGGGTATAGGTATTGTTGTAGAGAAGTAATATTTGGAAAGGAGTTATTTACTACTCTTTATGTTCCTGTGATACCAATACTGATACCAGTACTATGCAGCAATTGGAAAGTAGTGAGCTGAGGGCCAGGACATCCTAGCACTCTCCATTGGTCTGGACACCCAGATTGCTGAGGTTGCACTTTTCCTATTAAAGAAAAACATTGTGACTAAGAGGGGAATCAGCCCATTCCCATGGGTTTGCCAGGGAAGGATGTTCCAGTATTGGAGTACTGGTGCTCCAGTGTTGATTTCCTCTTCCTTCCCATTTCAGTGCTCAGATCGTGAACTTGAAATATAAGCACTTAGAAATTTTTGATTCATTGAAACTTGTTTACAAATGGACTGAACAGCCTAATTCACTCCTAACCCACTCCCAAAACATTATTTCCATGTATAACGTTTTCCTATGGACCTTTGAGTTTTATTATAATGTTCTTTGCCATTGTCTATCTCTTGTCTTTATATTGTTTATCTATCTGGGGGCATATCATTTCTATGGTGGGAGATATCAGATATCCATCATAACTTCATGGTTCCCATCAAGGGGCTGTGCTTTGGGAAACCTTATTTGGTTTAGTTTTACCTCAGGAGAATCTAGGAATACTAGAACATCTGTCAGGCAGCCATAAGGTATTTTTTGTGAGGGAATTTTAGGTCTGAAACAGAAAATATTCTCGACTAAGGAAACTGTTTTAACTAAGGGTGAAGGATTCTTAAATACAATATCATATCAAGTGATGAGATTTCGAGACCTGGGATCCTTAAAAAGAACTGTAGTTGCATGCCCATACAAAAGGGGGTAGAGCTTTGATCCCAATGGTGTGAGAGCTATCATGAGTTTTCATGTAAGCTGTACATGCTGCTAGTTCTGAGCCTTCATTTTTTAGACATTTCTACAAAAAAATTTACCACAGTTTCTACATACTGTTCTTGACCCTTGTAAAACTTGCTAATTCAAGATCAAACAAAACTTCTTTGTTCTTGAAAGAGTTTACAATTACAGCATTAAATGTATATAATTTTATTAGAAATATAAGCATACTTTCTTTTTTTTTCTGTAACTGCTTTGATACAGGTTTTTAATATGATAACATCAGATATTCCCAAATACCCCAAACATTTTTAACTATAAAATTCAGCATTCTGAAATTTCATAGCTGTATGGCAACCTAATGAAATATTTACGAGTGTCATGCCCACTTGTTTCTATTTTCTACTCAAAGTGCTGCTGCTTTGGTGCTGTTTTAAGGAAATCTGGTAATTTGCTATATAACTCCCACTGTAATCAGTTCTGATGCAGACAATCCAGCCTTATTTGGGCAGTGTCACTAAGTTGTTCAGAAAAAAGACAATGTCTTTACTTTGAATGGAAATCCACTTAGGCTTCATAAAGTCAATTCAGTATGAGGGTGATATTTTCTGCCTTCAGTCTGAATTGGACTTTTTGTTCCTACACTAGAAAAACATTTTTCCCACTGGAGCAAAATCTCCTGCAAAGATTCTCTTCGTCTTAGCTTCAGCTTAATCTTTATGTTCAGAAAAGAACTGATTACTCTTTGTAGTCAGAAAAAGATGTTATTTAACTTGTACTTTTTTTCCATTAGTATGTTCTTATATGTTTAGTAAGTATCACAATCCCTTTTTAATAGAAAATAGGCTTATTTTATTTTGTTGTGTTTGTGTCCTTAAAGGAATCCCACTAATGAGTGGGACTGGTACCCTTCAGATCTATCTGCTTGACATCAATGATAACGCTCCCCGAGTGGATCCTCAAGAAGCTACAACATGTGAAACACTACAGCCCAATGCAACAAATATCACAGCAATAGATGATGATATTGATCCAAATGCTGGACCATTTGCATTTGAGTTGCCAAATTCTCCTCCCAGTGTTAAGAAAAATTGGACCATTATTCGCATTAGTGGTAACATACATTCCTTTTATAACAAATCTTGTGTTTGTTTTGTAACTAATAGTTCATATTAATTTTTTTTCTAATATTTTAAAATGATAGTAACAATAGAATGTTCAGTTGAATTAAATACAGTACTAGGGGATTCTGCTTGTTTTCCCAGTCTTTGGGTTTTTCCATCTCAGAAATGTGTTCATTGCATCAAAAGATATGATTCTAAGAGTTGGAATCAGCTTCCCATAGGTCCTCTATATGCTTTAGAAGAAAATTCAAACTTTTCACATTTGATGAAAGTTCACCAGTACATAACTTATCATTTCAGGAAGAGATTCTAAAGCAAACGCTTTCCATTGCTTCAGTCGATGCAAACAGAGAATATTTATCCAGGCTTTTTTTTCTTTTCTTTATTCAGGTGACCGTGCCCAACTGGCTTTAAAGATCAGGTTCCTTGAGGCTGGAATCTATGATGTTCCAATAATAATAACAGATTCTGGAAATCCTCCCAAGTCTAGCACTTCTATTCTGAAGGTGAAAGTTTGCCAGTGTGATTTAAATGGAGACTGTACAGATGCAGACAGGATTGTTGGGGCAGGACTAGGCACAGGTGCCATAATTGCAATTCTCCTCTGTATCATCATATTACTTGGTAAGACTTTTAACTATTTTAGTTGTGATTGGGTGTGTCCTTACATGTGCTAAAAATGTTCAAGATTGGCTTGCCATGGAGTAGATTCTTCATATGTAGATGGGCCGCCAACAATTAATTGATTTAAGAATATATAATAGGCAATGTTTTTGCTGAAGCTTGTGATTTCTTTCTTAAGGACGTATTCTGAAAAGGTCCTCCTCTTGCCCTTCCTCTCCTTCTCTCTGGCTTTCTTTTCTCTGAACAGTTAGTTCAGTCTTTGAAAGTTTACAGCAAGCATGGTAGATGGCTTCTGAAGATCTTTATGAAATGGAGAATTCTATCTATCTATATTTTTTTTCAGAAAGATATTTGAAGGTTGGACAGAAAGGATATTAGAAGTAATCCAATAAACCAACAGCAGTAAACTTACACCTTGCATTACAAATGCTTAGCAATTATCCATAGCTTTCTTCTTCCATTTATAAGCATAAACCTCCTGCTAATAGAAAAATCAGGATCTTTTAAACTGTACATTTCAAACTGGATAAAGAGATATAGTCAAATAGTCTTTGTTGGGAACTGAGCTCCAGAAGAACTATCTCTACCTGTCGTTGCTGTTCCATTTTATGCTTAATTACATAAACAATTAGAAAGCTAATGTGACTGACCTTAAATTTATGTAATATGTATTATGTGTCAGGCCTAGCCCAAGGAACTCCAAGAGACAATGCAAAATCAGTTCAGCTATGTTTATTAGCTACAACCTCTAGAAAGAATCTCCCCAGACTGAACCCCCAGCTCCCAAGTCAGCCAGCCACAACAGTGTGAATTCCTCAGGGAGGTGCCAGTCTCATCCTCTTGTAGTTCCCACACTCCTGCGGCGAGCTAAGAAAATGCTTATCGCCCTGAGC